TTGATTAGAAATTGTCAATGAAAAAGGTAATCACCAATAAATCACTTCTTATAATCAGCAAAAACTTAGCTTTTGCATACTCTGACTATATACACATACAGTGCAGGCAGTATCTGATCAACAATTTTTAAATTCTGAAGACTGGAAAGAAATAAACTTTAAAAAAAAAAAACCTCCTTTTTCTTTCGTCACAAGGTATTAACCTAATAAACAAAAATGTTCAAAAAACTGAAAAGTGTTATTCTGAAATGTTTTTACCATTTTTTTGAAAACCCAGAGTTGATTTTATTTTTATAATAATTTTCATTTCCTGACTTACAGGGTCTGATTTCTTCACATAAACCTTCCAATTTTAACGTCAACTCACACTTCATTACTGAAATGCTAGATTTAAATTTCCTCTACCCACAGGATTGGACTTTTTTTTTTTTTTTTTTATCACCTTAAACTACTTGGATAATGTGCCCCATTTAGCCAGGAGAAAACATAAAAAAGAGACATTTAATCACTTGAGACTGAACTCTTGGTTGAAAGACCCTAGTTTTCATTATTCTAAGCCTCTAATCATAATATAACCCAAAAATATGAATTAAACAGAATATGATTTCAAGAAACACTAGATAAAATAGGTTCATCAAGGTAAAGTTATTCACATTGTACTGAAAGTTTACACGAAGTTTCTGGAGCAGGGATAGATTTAATTATTAATTACTTATAATAAACACACTGGTTTCCCAATTCTCACTTGTGTGGTGACTGCTGCGAACCAGAACTATAACAGCTAATCAGACTGATAAGAGCCTACATATACTGGGGTTTGTACCATAGATGAGGAATTCAAAAACAGGAATTAGTGTCTACATAGGACAGCTGTACACAAGCCCTCCTCTCTTCCACAGAAAGGAAGAGGAATCTTATCTCCTTAATGTAAACGAATTTTGGGGGGAGGGGAAGGATCCTGGGTTCTTACCCTTTGGTATGTAAATATATGTTTTAGGAGGGAAGACAAGATTTATGTCTCCAGATTTACAACCCAGAGGTATCTCCATGGTTCCAGGTCTCATTCCCCCTTGAAATGTACATATTGGGGAAGCAAATATCTGTTATGGACTGAATTGTGCCACCTCTGAAATTCGTATGTTGAAGCCTGAAACCCCAATATGACCACATTTGGAGATTGGGCTTTTAAGGAGGTAATTAAGGTTAAGTGAAGTCACAGGGTAGGGCCTTAATTCAATAGAACTGGTATCCTTTTAAGAGGAAGACACACCAGGGATGTGTGTGCACAGAGAAAGGGTCATATGAAGACACAGCAAAAATGTGGGAGTCTTCAAACCAAGGAGAAACCTCAGGAGATCCTAAACCTGCTGCCACCTTGATCTTGGGCTTCTAAAACTGTGAGAAAATAAATTCCCATTATTTAAGCCACCTAGTCTCTATTATTTCGTTATGGCAACCCTAGCAAACACTCTGGATGGTTTCTCGCTATCAATTCAGTCACAAATTAACTTTGAATCTTCTCTTTCAGCACAGGTCCCAAGCTTCAGTAAAACTGGCTCACAAAGCTCTAACTGTGAAGAAACAAAATATTTCCTCTATAGTCCCAAACTGTCCTTTAAAGAAATTCTTCAAAATTGTAACACCTGAAGCCAATATACAAATATGTTTTTAAAATAAGAAATTTTGAGGGAGTGGGGGAGGTAGATGGGGGGAAAAATTTAATAATTTCTTCAATAAATAAATAAATAAATAAATTATAAAAAATAAGAAATTTTGTAATAGTTTCTCGGTGAAATTCTTTATAATCTCAAGCTATCTATACATCATCTCTTCTTGTAGGAAAAGTGTGCCTCCACTTATTCTCCCTTTTGCCCAGTTTACTAGTAGAGGATACAATCAAGTCAGCCTGGCTTCATAAGAAAAGAAAAAAAAAGGTTTGGTGGTAAGTATACATGATTTGAAATTACTGTATTTGGTTTTCATTATATAATGCCAATCTAGTATAATTTTAACATGAATGATTTGAAGGTAAATTTATCTATTACTTAAAAACAAAAATATTTCATTAATGTTTTACTTTTTTAAAGCTCAATTGTGAAACACTTGTTTTGAGCATTTAAATAATTCCTTATGTAAAAATCTGGAGAATTTATTTGAAATATCTCCAAATATTTAAACAGTGCATAAATATGAAGCTTTAATGTACATCTTTTAATAAATTAACCAAATGAACATTTCACATATACCAAAACACTTAAATAATGCTTAAGCTATCAAAGCTAATGCTAGATTTTTCAAAAATGATACCAACAGAAATGATTTTGCACTGTGCATTTTTAATTAAAAATTGTACATGAGTGCAATGATTTCATAAAGACCTCAACGAGACACTTTTTTTTTTTTCTTCAATTTTACACTATCTCTAGCAAAGGCAATATCCGAGGCCAATAGTATAGATACACAGATATAACATGACAGTGGTAATCTATCAATTTATTAAATATGCTAAAATAACTTTTTAAAATATTAAATGTTGTCCCTCATTTTATATTTTCCTAATTTTATAGATGCATGCAATAAAAAATTTCAATTTCATTAACTATAAGTCTATAAAAAGTAAACTTTCCCCCACATTTAAGGTCATTCTGACGATAAGAATAGGCCCTAGTATTTATATTTTACAATAGCGACTGATTAATTATAACCAACTAGGGCACTAAATTTTAGAGACTTATGATTGTATAGTGCTATTAAATCATAAGTCTTCACACAAAATTGTTAGAAAAACGTCTATGTTGATAATAAAAAATTATTAAAATGGAACAACCTTTTTCTGTGCTTCGAGACTTTATATAAACAATACAAATTAATATTGCTGACATTTTAATATAATCTTTTTAATTATACACTTTGCAAAATTGTTTTAAAAGATGAATTATGATTAATCATAAAATTTTCATTCTGCTACATATAACTATTTTCTCCTACAAAATGTCCACTGCTCCCCCAATTAAAAAAAAAAAACTTCTTAAAAGCAATCTTTATAACCCAACAATCAAATAAAAATTTCTGTTTACTTAAAGGAGAGGGCATGAGTCCTGTATATTAACTATTCTGCCCTGATACAGGACTGCGTCTAAACAGAATCCTAGTAAGGATTATTAGCTCTCCATGCCCATTCCAACTTACTAACAACTTAGAGAAGTAAAATGGAAGACTCTAATAGCAGTTTTGACAGGTAGAAAATGGAAAGGTTCTCAATCCCAAACTAAATAGTGATTATTTAAAAAATCTGGCACTGTCAAATCAGGCAGAGATTAAGCTGAAGTGGACAATAACATGGTCTGTAATAGATCATTTACGTTTTCTAACAGAAAATCAAATTATGCCTTACCATCTACCAAAGACACTGGTTTACAAAAAGTCTCAGTAGTTACGATGCATTATATCACCCTCACCTCTGTAACTAAAATGGATATTAAACATATCAATTTAATTCTAAGGGAATTATTTTTTAAAGTTTACTTTCTTTCTCTAATACCAAGGTAAAATACATTTTGGAAATCTGCATGGAATGTTCCCAAAAAGCTGGTTCTTTACTTTTAGCAGGGTCTGTGTTAAATAGTTTTCTCATTCTTTCAACTATATGAAAAGATATGATCCCCCGAAATGCAAAAACAAATCTGGTCTTGTGTTATATTAAATAATGATCTCCACCATTTAATATAAAACAACATACATTTTTGGGTTTCTGTTAACAAGGCAAAATACAAGTTATTCATAAGAAAAAAAAGATGAAATGACTAAGATACCTTTTGTGGGATAAAATTCACATTTATGTCCCTCTTCTATCAGTAATATCTTATCTGCTCTAATCTCTTCAAGGTTCAAGTTCAGTGCTACAAATGCAATATTTTCCAGTTTTCATCACAGATTTTTTTTTTTTAACATTGTTTTCGGGATGCTTTAAACAATTAGCTTTACAACTATTACTTCAAATTTATGTTTACAATTTACAGCCCATCTTCAATATGGTCATGGCTTTTACACTTTTTTGGATCATAACCCATTTAAGATTTTAAGAGCTCTTTCCAGAAAAAACAAAAAATTACATATCCAGAGTTTTGCAAGCAATTCAGGGCTTTCAAGGCTTTCAAGTCCACTGACACCTATTTAGGATAAAATCCCTTGGAATAAAGGGAAGAAATCAAACAGTAAGTTTAGATTGCAGGTTTAGATTACAATAGTTCAATATAAAAAAAAAAATAGAGAAATCTATTTTAGGTGTTGAATAATTTTTTATGATTGATCAGGCAAAATTAAAATATTTGCAAAGGAGGGACCTTTAGTCTTAATCTTATAAGAATTTTTTCAAACTCATATTAGATGTATACAATTTACAACCAATGTGCAAATGGAAATATTGCTATAAAGGGATATGTTCATATTTGATATTAGCCAGTAAATACATACATTAACAGGAGGAGTTAATGGTTATACTTGAGGGTAGAGTTTATCGAGATCAATCAGTAAAGAAAAATACTCACACACAAAAATAAGTAGTATTTTCTAGTACTATTGATTTACAACATATATCCTTAGATTCAAGTAGATCATCTGTTAAGATGCCATCAGTAATCAATGTATGCAATATAATTGCACATAGCTATTAAATCATTTTGGGCACACATTACAAATATGTATCCAAATAACCAAATGACTACAATTAAAAAGAATTGTTTATTTATAGAGCAAATGCGATTCGTGGCTTTCACCTTATAGTTAAAGGCTTAAAATATATTTTAAAACTTCAGTCATTAAAGATTTGTCAACTTAAAAAAAACTAGAGAACAGAAAGATTACTAAGATTAAAATAAATTCATAGACTTAAAAGTATTTTTGAAAGTATGTATAATTTGTAATAATATGAATGGAGAAGAAATAAAATGTAACTGTGGCAATGTGAGCTACCTAATACAAAAATTAAAAATCAAAATACATTTCACATATGAGAATTAAGTGCGTTTTTTCTTTATTCAAGTAAACATGTTGATAATAATACATGATACTGGACAACCCATGTGACAAAGTGCTGTAGTCTAGTGTTTGGTGAAGCCTCTTTGCCTCTAGGATGATTTTCCAGGTGATTCTTCAGGATCTGACATCAGTGCCCAACACAGGTTTTCCAATGGCAATGCATGAGTTCTAGAGGCCATTGCCTCTATCTTTCTTCAAATGCTGAGTGCCATTTTCTCCCACCCATTTTATCCTCCATTATTTATTAAAAACCCACTCTAAAATTCAACCTATGTTATAAAATTAACAAAATCTGGAGTTAGTATATATTTTCCCACAAAGATAAAATTGTCAAGACTCTACTTAATCTTTTTCTTTAAACGGAGTAATATACAAGACAAAATATGCAGAGAACTTTATTACCAGGTATACGTAATAGTTAGAAATTGCTAACATACTGAAATTTAGCTTAATTCTTCTGGGATAGCAATCCTCTACTGGAAACTATAGTTTACAAACAGAAGATTGTGTTCTAGTAAGTGGAAATATAGTACCTGATTTGGTATAAAAAAATTGTGAGATCTTTTCTTACTAGTAAAGTGCTTAATGAAGAAACATTCTTTCACCACATGATTTAATTTGTCAAAGGCACAAAATGTTTTTGTCTCCTTAAAGCATTAATTTTTAAAATTATGGTATTATTCACTTAAATTTCACTTTATCTGAAAGCTTTACTGTTTTTTTCCCCCTCTTGGTAATAAAAAATAACTACTTAAAGAAAAACATTTAATTTTTATTTTCAAAACTTTGCCACGAACATACATACAACAGTAAATTTGATCGCCTCATGAGATGTCTGTGTGCCATGAAGCACTTATGACAAAAAACATACATAAGCTTTAGGGTCAACATTAACAAGGAATCAAAATGTCCTCCAAAAAAGGATGGAGAGGGGAAACAATAAATTAAAAATCATAGCTTTCGTTTTATAAAAAAATAGTTTGAATAATCTTCTTATAAATCTTTAATGCTTACAAAAGCAGGAAATACATTTAAAATAGTCTTTTAAACACAGATTCATTAGTACAATGTGGTTGTGGTCAGAAAAATAACAACTAAAATGGCATTTCAGTCAGTAGCCTAAATTCTCTTCTCAGTAAATTCTACATAGAATTTAACTAATTTGCAATTCAAAATAAGATTTAACTTCCAACAGGTCAGACTAGCTGTAGTTAGTACCCAAATATCAAGCTCTGTTCCATTTAATATATTTTATCAAAATTTTAAATACAGCTCAATGATAGGAACTGATAACAATACTTGACTGCATGGTTACCACCCATGACTACTGCATTGCAGTTTAAAACATACTTTTGTTAGTAAATTAAAAAGATATAAATCAAATAACAAGGCAAGAAATGTTTTAGAATCCATTTCCTGACTTTAAGTAAACTTTAAATACATCAACAAGGCAAGGAAAAATCAAATATATGGAGAAGTCTCTATTTTTTTAACCATTTGGCATTTTATATTAATAATTTCCTTGTTTAAAACAATATTGTATACTCCTATGCACTGATTATCAGAGTCTCTGAATTAAAACTAAACTATAGTTACCTTTCTTAGAATATCCAGTAGTGAATGCATTAATTGTTTCTTTTGCACTTCCATGAAGATGGTCCTTCGTCCTGTAACTTTTTAAATTTTGGACCAAGAAAGAACCACCAAACAAATCCAATAAACACACAAATAATGGACTCCACATAATAACCATCCAGTGCTGTAATACACGAGCCACCGAGTTTTTTGCAAAGCTGTAAAAATAAAATTATAATAAATATTCCACAATTTCAAAATGGAAGTATTCAGCAATTTAAATGTTTCTACTTTGTAATTTAAAAAAATTAATCAAAAAATATTTTTGTTAAAACATTTTGTTTACTTCAAATTGCAAAACATGTTAATGTATCTTAATCTCTCTAAAGCTACTAACATGATTAAGAGCAATTTCAGCTTGTGCTGTAAGCAATACTCATTTTCACGATACAGCTCTTTATATTTGGAGATGTGAAGAAATAGTCAATGAATCTACTCCAGAAGTAGGCTAATGTTACTTTAAAATAATTTATCAACAAATTACTAACCATCTGGTTTTACCTACAATTATTATATGAATAGTCAGTGAAATTTCTCTTTTGCTATCATTATAAAACTTAACTATCAATAATGCATTTATTAAGAACCAATGTGTAAGACAGAGGAAAAAAGATTGCTTCTCCCTTGCTAAGAAGCACTTTCAGTGAGCTGCTCTTGATTTTAGGGCATTACAACCCTCAGTTACGATAGAAAAGAAAAAAAATATGTAGATTTCTATATGAGAAACTATGGGCAGATATGATTTTTAAAAAAGATATAGTACTTCTGGAGGCAAAACAAGGAAATTAATATTTTAACATTAACTTAATGTTATCTCTTCTCCCTTGCTAAGAAGCACTTTCAGTGAGCTGCTCTTGATTTTAGGGCATTACAACCCTCAGTTACGATAGAAAAGAAAAAAAATATGTAGATTTCTATATGAGAAACTATGGGCAGATATGATTTTTAAAAAAGATATAGTACTTCTGGAGGCAAAACAAGGAAATTAATATTTTAACATTAACTTAATGTTATCTAGAATGACAAAATACTTACCTTAATGGCATCAGGT